GTTCGTATTAAGTCTAATTAGGCACACAACTCGTTTTGGGAAACTTGTTGAAAAACGTTATCATTTGCCTTGATTGAATAATATTAACTATTCATTAATATTAATTATTCAATAATAATATAATTATTGAATCATGATCATTTGTCATGTACAAATTTTCAGAAATAGATTACATTGTTGTTATGGCTGTTGTAACAGCATAAAAATTCCCAAAAAGGGTTCTTGGTTACGTCATGGGATGGTTAGTTTGGCAGATATCCTGACGTATTTCCCATGTAGACGAAAACTTGTCCTTAGTTCCGTCGAATTTGAAATTTAGAAAAATACATATTCAATTTTACTGCATATAAGGTAGCAACTAAATATATCGAGGGCTTATACATATCTGCACTTTTCACAAAAATGAGATTCTGATATAAAAATCCACCTAAGCCTTAACTATTATCAGTGATATTAATGTTGACCTTCTATAGCGCTTAACGGAGGAATTTACTATTAAATTTGAATTAACATCAGTGATGATAGGCAAGTCCCAGATGGGTTCTAACATCACAAAATAGTTTTTGTGAAAATAGCAGATAGAGGGTATTGAATATAAGCACTCGATATGCATGAGAAAATATTGGAAAGTGACGAATCAGCATTTAGACATTAGAAAAGGATAATACATGCTACGACATAAATATAAACTACATTAGCTACATGTTGTTGACTTTCCTTCAAATGATCCAACCTGATAAATTTGAACTTTCCAACTTATATTTTTTATCTTAAAAGAGTCACACTAATGAACTAAACAGCAAAAGGTTGTTCCTTGCCATCTTCATGGTACTTAATATAGGTTTCGCCATGCGTAAAGTCTCTGGTGCCCTCCAATCGTCCACGCGGCGGCGCTTTCTCATAGTCGAAGGCCTTCTCAGATTTACCATACAACCGATTCGCTTCCTCAATCTCATCGCGGTATTTTCCGACAACAACTTTCTTTCCAGACAGTGGATCTGTTATGTCACCCAATGGATATACAACTTTTTCCACTTTGTGCGAGATTAGGCGGGTCAGACGTTGCGGCAGCTCACTTATTAGCACGACATCGCCTGTTTTACACACTTTTTCAGGATCGTGAGCAAAAAAGAATTCATCTTTTTTGAAATACTGCAGAAAACGTAAAAAGTGTTAGCTACAGAGCGATAGCACAAATTTCTAGATCTCACCATGTTCAGATTCTTATCGAATTCCATGCGTCGTATGCGTATTTTGGAAGCGTTTTTTTTAATGCAAGGCATGCATTGCCCTAAAAGTATTGCACCACGAGTAGCCATTTGAGAAATTTAAGAATTAAAAACGCGATTTTCTAAACAATCTGCACAAACGGAAGAAATGCATGCGATATGAAATGTCAAATGAATACTCAGCTGGTGTTCAACTGTCAGTTGGGGCTTTTCTGATTAGAGTTGGGGCTATTTGCGCAAATTACAAACAAAGCAATTGGCACGTCACTTTTGACACATGGCATCGTCAGCTGTTTTTGTGATTTAGCTTAAAGTGGTTTTTTGTCCAGCGTTGGAAAATTGCACAAAAAACAACTAAAATATTAAGTGCGTATAAATATAAACAAACGTGATAAGTGCGAAATTATAGCGCAGCAACAATCACCACAACTCAATCAGCCATTGAATGCATGTAAAGCGGTGAAGCGTTTTAAACGAAACGCCAATAGAGCACAATATCATGGTAAGCTAAACACACCCCAAATATTGGAAGCCAGATAACTGCAGCGATATCTATTTTGTATCACCATTTAAGAGCTACGAGGAAGACGACTATCACGTGGACACGTTCCCAAAGGACTTTGGCTATGGGTCATTCGATCAGGATGGCTTAGACGCTCCCGGTATGGGCGGCGGTGAATCGAAGCCTCGCATCCTGCTAATGGGTTTGCGTCGATCCGGGAAGAGTTCAATACAGAAAGTGGTCTTCCACAAAATGTCACCAAATGAGACACTATTTTTAGAATCAACGAGCAAAATCGTGAAGGACGACATTAACAATTCCAGCTTTGTGCAGTTTCAGATATGGGACTTTCCAGGACAAATAGACTTCATAGACCCTACATTTGATTCCGATATGATTTTTGGTGGTTGCGGTGCTTTGGTGTTTGTAATCGATGCCAAGGATGACTACAATGAAGCACTAACGAAGTTCAAAAACACCGTTATAAAGGCATATAAAGTAAATCCGCGAATTAAATTTGAAGTCTTCATACACAAGGTATATAAATTTTATTATGCATGTGACAGCTTTGTGTGGTGATGGGCGTTGTTGACGCATTGAAAGCGTTATCAGTATTAATTGTGAGAAATAAACAGTTGTTAAATTAAATACTTTACATGAGCGAACTTTGTAGGTACTTATATGCATACGCACATACATACATATATATGTACATATGTATGAATTTCATTATTTTTAATTAATGATTTTCCTAGTTGTTTGGCTTTGTATATAAAAAAATATAAAAAGTTTCACTATTTCATAGGCTATAAATAAACATGTAAATCTTTTTTCATGCAAAAGGTCGATGGTATTAGCGATGACTCAAAAATGGAATCACAGCGTGACATACATCAGCGCGCCTCAGACGACCTGAGCGATGCAGGTCTTAATCAAATACATTTAAGTTTCCATCTAACTTCCATTTATGATCACTCAATATTTGAAGCGTTCTCCAAAGTAGTGCAAAAATTAATACCACAGCTACCGACGTTGGAAAATTTGCTGAATATTTTTATATCGGTAAGTGAGCATCTTATTTTATTCTACTAAAATACATAATACTGTCCTTACACTTTACTCAGCATTCAGGTATCGAAAAAGCGTTCCTCTTTGATGTGGTTTCGAAAATCTACATCGCCACCGATTGTTCGCCAGTGGATATGCAGAGTTATGAGCTCTGCTGTGACATGATCGATGTGGTCATCGATCTCTCAAGCATCTACAGGTAAGGCCGAGATGGCTGAATTCTGGCCTAAATATTATATGAATTCGCTTTTGATTCTCTACAGCTCCGAAGAAACCGCCTTTGATCACGAAAGCTCTAGTCTCATTAAGCTTAATAACAATACGATTTTGTATTTGCGGGAAGTAAATAAATTCCTTGCATTGGTCTGTATATTACGCGAAGAGAATTTTAATCGACAAGGTGTGATCGACTATAATTTTCTGTGCTTCCGCAAGGCGATCAGCGAAGTTTTCGAGTTGCGCATGAAAAGCCAGAAACTTGAGACTTTGGACGAGCAAATTGAACCAGAAGATGTGGCGGACGAGGATGAAGATGAACTTGTAGCGCGCGTAAATGAAAACCATTTAAATTAATTGTACTAAAAACGCCGACCAAAAAAACAATTGCTTGTGATTATTTTGTCCTATCACATTGTTTTTACCTAATCTAAGATAATTGAACAAACAACCACAGCAACAAGCAAATATATATATAATGTACAGGAAGTTTACTCTTTTGTTAAGGAATTGTATTTGAAATAATCCTAATTATATCTACATAAATATGTATGTTGCAAACGTTACGGCGCACTTATTATCCACACTTTTTTATACTTACTGAAGTTTATACTTGGACACGGGTACAAGAAAACTTCACTTTTTCACTCCTATATAACCACATATTTTTTTGTTTTAATGTGCCTTTATTGTGACTATTATTTCTTTATGCTTATCCCTTACAGTTATACTAAATGTTTTATATAATAATTTAAAACCTCTATTTTTTAAGATAAGAATAAGAAAGCACTCAATATTGTTTCAAAACCCAAAGCCTTTACCAGTGTAACAAGAGGAAAGATGAAGAAAACGCTGACCTTTTACCAGGAAAAGTTGTAATATTGACATTTTTATACTAGCTTACAAATTTTGTAGATCATGCATTGTGAAAAAGAAGAGTTGTGGCTGTATTACTTTTGTTATCTATAAAAATAAAATGTTTAAAATATAGACTTCCTTTATAATAAAAAAATAATAATAATAATAATTAAAAACAAAAGTTCTTAATTGTATCAGAATATTAATTACAAAACTTAAATGTTGGGTGCAGCATGGAACCCTCATTGAGAAACTTTCATAGCAATTTAAAGTGTATACGCAGAATTCTAGCACTCGTACTTTAACAACCCGGTATCTCACTTACAAAACTTTTGAAAGAGATTAAAAAACGGTAATTTTTTTATTTAAAGCCGTAACTTTACTAGGGGAAGAACTCATCTCAGATGTTTGTTCAAAACACAAAAACGTTTATACATATGTACATACATACATACTTGTAAATCTAGTTTTTCTATAAATAGTTTTAATGTTTTAATTAAAAATAGTATAAAAGAAATTAATTTGAATATGACGTATCTTTGAAGTAAGAATCGAAGACATAATTTAGAGTGCTATCCAATTAAAAAAGTTTAAGCATCGTAACATTGACGCAATGTTTTTAGTATACACTTTACCTTTTTTATTAATTGTTACATTTGTCACATCTTGGCGTATTAATCTTTACTGAATTCCGATGCAGAGTCTCTAAGCGAGCTTCAAATAAAATATCGTCAATAGCTTTCTTAGCAAACAGCTTTTGAGTTTCGGTTAAACTTCGATATTGATATGCCCAACTTATACCCAAAATATCAGCTTCGTCATTGGAATCTTTCAATTTCTTAAAGGATACATCCGTTGCCTCATTTCGAATCCTTTTTGGACTAGGCGAGGGTAGTTCACATTCCGCCTTTTTTGAGTCATTTAAAAGTGAAACCTGTTTAGTGTAACATTTTTAATTTTGTAGTATCCAAAGGCATATGTATTTACAAACCTCCTCGATGACTTCAATTTCGTCAATATCTTTCTGCTCTGTGTCGGTGCAGTTATAATTAAATTTTGTATTTATACTATCGTCACAGTGATTCCAACTGCCGTTATTATCCAGCGGGTCCTTGCACTCGTGGAGAAAGGAGAAATGGTCAAAATAAACCCATTTAACCTCGGGTGTTTTACCCAAACTGATTGCTCGTTTCATTTTGTGCCATTTCCTTCTATAGATCGAACGCAGACTGTTGATTTTTCTTTTCACCATATCTACATCGGCATTCGGTTCAACTTCACGCATTTTTTCTACCAAATCCAAGTAAGCTACCTTTTTTGCATCACGGTCCTTATACACTTCACTGCCATGTTTCCACAACTCTGGCTTTGATCGGTACAAGTTAATAAACGCTATCCAGAATTTATGTTGGGCGGATATTTTTAGAGCCATATCCATGATGCCATCCTCTTCGTTCGATTTATTCAGGCCAGTATATGCGACATCTTTTAATTCATTGCTTGATTTTGATAGATTAGGCGAATAATATGTACCCTTACTATTCATTTTCTGTGGTGCATACTGCAAAAGTTGTATGTTGTTTTAACTTGTTTGGATAGTGACAAATATGTGTAATTGCGTACTTACCTCCACAATATAATCGTTTTCATCTGCATCACTTTGCGGCTCTGAATTATCAAGTCTCACAAAGCTACTATCCTCGCACTGACTCCAACTATCCTCCTCTTCTTCCTCTGTGTCCTTACATTCGCGAAGGAAATTAAAATGTTTATAGTATACCCACTTAACATCTGCATCTATTCCAAGCTTAAGGTCCTCTTGAGCTTTGTACCACTTGCGTCTATAGCATGAACGCAAACTGTTGATTTTCTTCTTGACCATATCAACAGTGGCATTTGGCTCAACTTCGCGCATCTTCTCCACCAGCTCCAAATAGGCAAGCTTCTTTCCTTTTCGATCCTTATAGATTTCAGTCCCATATTTCCACAGCACTGGCTTGGACTTGTAAAGCTCAATGAATTCTATCCAGAATTCATGAAAGCTTGTTGAATTTGAACTGGTATTCATAACAGAGAAATTGTGAGCCACAAATACTGCTGGCGCAAACCAAATTATGCGATATTTTCCACAAACGGCTTGAAAGTTTGCGTCAAATACTCAACCCAGCTAGGATTGCCACCGCACAATTTTTCATGTGTTTATTAAAGTGCTGTAACTTGGTTACTGTTAATAAATTTGATTTTAGTTGAGCGATGAAAATAAAATTTTAGGACAATAATTTATTGTCAATAATATGCGGGACATTAGTTAAAGCGCATTAAAATCCACTTTTTCTTACAAATACACGGACTGCGTAATGACATGTGGCAATGCTGCCAGCTGTCAATGCTTCAATTGACGTTTCTTCGTACCTGGTCAGCTCCAGCTTGGCCCCACCGCCTCAACCAAAAACAAAATAATGCACTTTCACAAAAATCAAAACAATAGTGCGCACAGAATCTGTGATAAAAGTTAAACCAAAAACGTACGACCAAATAAAAATGAAGAAAAAGTGTGAGAAAACTGGATACGTCAATTATTTTAGTTGCTTTCAGAGCGAAGTTGGAGCGAGTCAAGCGAAAGTTTAGTCGATCGGTGGGCGCAGTTTTATTTCTGGGAAAAAAAATTTGTGTAGCCAATCTCGGTGCTTAAAAGTGTTTAATCTGCGGTGTGTGTTTCGTGAAACATTTTAAAAGATATCGCTATAGCGAATACATTTTACCAGATATTAATTTGCAATTTATATAAGCAATGTTACACGAGTGTTAATTGGAAATTTAAAGGGTGTGTAGAAACGTCGCAAGCACTGTATCGACTTATCACTCGTCAACCCAATCCAATCCTGCCTTCATCGCTGAAATTGTGTGCATCCCAGACCCCCGTATATGCATATGTACATACATATGTAATTGCATTCGCTTGTGTGCACTTGCACGTACTTAGAGTACCGTTCGTTCATCATTTTCTACATACAGAGAGTGGCGTAGATAAAATCCGCTAAACGTTTGTAAACCGGCATATACATACATATGTGTGTGCGTACGTATGTTGTATATATTGTGAGCGGAAATTTCATTATTTTTTGTTGTATTAAAATCGGATATTGAATATCGAAATCACGTGGAACTATCGACGGTTTATGGTAAATCGAGTTTGACCTGCCTGTGCAGCCGAAACAAACAGGTACACATACTAGCAGTGAAGTGGCCTAACTAAAATTTCGACATCATATTTTCCAATTGGACTACAATCAATTTGGAGCGTTGATATTTCCGATTAGACCTTCGGTAAGTTCCGTTTTTGTTTATCCGCTGCATTTCCTCCGCCATTTTGCATAATTCATCACGTTTTTGTATGTAGTATATATGTATTTATACACTGTATATAAATATGGAGGAGGTACTTCCTTATCCTTGGCTGACTTCTTATCGCACAAACGCATAATTCTCACCCAACCTTGTACATACACAAATTAATAATAAATACTTGCTTTTTCTATATGTTTGTTGCGTTCTTTGCAACTTTTAATGGAGTTTTCTTAATTGGGATTAAATCAACTGCACATCTGTACAGCTGAAAAATATGAATAAATAAGTGGTGAAAGGTGGTTGGCGTAAAAATTTTCCTTTGTTTAAGCAGCCTTGTTTCTTCTTCTTTTGAATGATCTTCATGGTTTTCTCCGATTAGTTGCTATTGTTAACACTTTTTGCTATCTAATTTATACAGTTGCATATGTATGTATACATATGTATGTATGTATGTCAAAGTATTAAAAATTGTTACAATACTGAAAATAGTATCTAACTACCTAGATAGTAATTTCTACATGCATACGTACATATCGTCGTTTGTAGTAAAAAACCGCGTATCGTGGTTCTGCAAAACCTCGTCAATGACATTTTTGTCAAAAAATATACATACATATTTGCTTACCGGAAGCTCCTGGCATCAAGTTCTTATCCATTTGCAAATACTAAAATATCGATACCTAAGTAGATATAACAAAAAAGAGATAATTGGGGATAAAAGAGAGAACCGTTTCGAAATGAAACAAGTTTTATTCTCTCCTATAAAATTTGGGCAACCTCACCTACGAGATTTGTACTTTCTTGATACGCGGTTTTGTACTTTAAACGACGATATGTATGCATGTATGTATATACATATACATATTCATAAATATATGTATGTTGTAAAATACAGTTCCTTCTCTAAAAAACCCCATTCAGGAAATTTCAGCCAAATTTTAAATTTTCTCACAAGTGTTATGCCGATTTCCTTTCTACCGAAAATGCAACCTTCTCTTTGCCCTCTACGCACAAACATTAAGAAGAAAGCGATGAGAAGGCAACATTTTTTGTAGAAACGAAATCGCCATTAGATTTGGGTATACAGTTTTTTAGCCCATTCAATTTTAGTCTAATAATATGCAAGTTTCAAGCGACTAAAAATTACCGTTAATTTTTTTTTTATTTTTTTTGCGGAAGGTGTTGCAGATTTCTTTCACATAAAAAAAAAAGGTTTATATTATGCTGCTATGTGAAGAATTTGTTGCAGAATTTTTTCAGAATTTTCTTTATTTTGCGTACAGAAATTTTTTTACGAGTTCCTGTCGACCCCTTCATATAATTTTATTTGAAGATTCGTAAAAAAATCGTTACAAAAATGAGATACTCCTAAAGATTTCGTTAACGCCCGGCAACAGCAATAATAAACTGTCCACTGAACACGTCTTAGCCGTAAGGGTTGCTTTCTTCAATGGCGATTAAATTTTAGGCTGGGGATGCATTTTTATATTTGTTTAGAAGAAAATGATTTCATATACTTTTTCGCTTCCTTTGCTAAAATTTCAATTTTGTTGCATAAATCTTTTCTTTTCAGTTTTTTAATTAAATTTTTTTGTTTACCATTTCCACAGTATTTATTCACCATTTCATCCATAGTTGACAGTCGCTTTGACTTCTTTCACGAAATTTCGCTGACAGAGTAACTATTCGGCATTGATTTTCCACATATGTGCATATGTATGTATGTATGTATGTATGTACATACATAATAGCAACCTTTTTGCAGTGCTTTCAATGACTCATTCAGCCAAAGCGTTCATTTTCAGTCACGATTGAAATCAATGTGAAATTGTCGGTACAATGTTACCTTCCGTAAAAGAAATTTTTGATTTCCCCCATTTTCGGTACTTTTATACATAAGGGGTATTCACGAACCGGTGCATACGGTCTAGCATAGTGCATAGATAGCATAAATAGCACATATAAGTAATACCTAAACACTTTGACCGGTTTTTATTATTGTTTAGATCACTTTTTGCTAGTTTTTAGGTCAACGAAATCCGAACCCTGTTGATGACAGTGTTTCACATACCAAACAATTTTTTTTCATTCTAGAGAAAAAAAACGTACAAAATATTAATGGCAAAATTGTTTGGCTTTTGTCTATTCGGGGATAAAAATTTTGGAAAAAGGTATAAAATAAACTCTAAATTAGGTCGAGACTTTTAGTCTTCGAGGTCTTTAGACATATTTTTGATCCGATCATGTATATATTTGTAATCGAGGTTTCCAGGGCGGTTTTATTAAATAGGCGTACAAAAAAAAATACTATTGATGCTTTATTTTTGTCTGATCCAACTAAAGTATAGAAGTAAAAACAATTTTTTGAAGTATACAAAAACTAAAATATGTGCGATGAACTCTACCAAATATAATTTACATACATATAAACCCCATTAACGGTAAGCGTTTTTATTCTCTATGAACTGCCGTAAAATTTGGAAAACAGCAAATTAAAATATGAATACATATACATACATACATACTACATACATACATAGTTATTTAAGCAGGTGTGTACACACTTTGTTACTCTTCCACCGAAAGTGCTCACACAGTAGATAGTCAATTAACGAGCATTTGAACAATACCATAGTAAAGTTTTGTAAGCTGTTGATTCGGCCATTAAAACAATAAAACAAAAGAACGGGCCACGAAAAGATTTGCAGCTACTTTTTCTTTTTGATAAAAGAGGAAAAAAAAACGCATAAAAAACTCACAGATTTTACCGCCTGGTCTGGTCTACCTATTTGATGGCAGTCTGTCTGAGCGTATATTTTCCTATTTTTGTGCTTTCGCATCAGATTTATCGCTTGCACGTGTTAGAATATCTGCATAAGTATGCAAATTTGTATTTGTGTATTCAGTTGTTTATTGTTAACAATTTCTTAACCAAGAACCAAAAGCTCGGCTCTTAACTGTGCCACAGCAGCGCATAGTTAACGCTTTGGTATCCATCTCAACAGAATTAGCCGTCATAAAATGCCAGATATTACCATGAATTTTAACCTAATTCGGATACGCGCAGACGTGTGGACGCATTGCGGATATGCGTGGCTGAAAGTGAACTGAATGCCGCTTACAATTAGTGTGTCTACTAGCTATGAAAGTCGTGGACTTACTTAATGTTAATAATTTTCAAGTACATTAAAGAGTTAGTGCGGCGTGAAGTTAGCGCCCGTTTTTATTTTCATTTTCATAACTTTAGACCTTAATTTATCCACCAACATAGTTTTTTTTTTTTCAATTCAAAAAAAAAAAATAAATAAAATAAAATAATGAAAAATCCACATACATATGTATCTACATAAATTTATTGTTGCATGGTGTACCTACCTAATTTTGTTATTTATTTTCGGCATACAATCACGTGTAATAATAGTAATAAGTAAACACTAAAACTTGCCTGGAGTTAAAACTGACTAAAATGGTGCACTTAGAATAATTTCTTTTCATTGAATTTTTGACTAAGTCTCGTGAAACCAAATATTCGAACTAGATGTTTTCGACCATCGCCATCTTTTTGATGCAGAAATATTCCTAGAGCATCTAGAGCATTGGTCGTTTAGTAGCAAAAAGGTTTTGTTGCTCGCCAGGCTTATGTAGTCGTTTGCAATAGTCCGAAAATTATCGCTTTTCCATCACGGACAAGAATTATCCTCTAACAAACATCCAAACGCTAGCTGGGATATATGTACATATGTAAGTAATACGTACATACATATGTACATACGTGGGTATGTGTGTAATAACCATCTCATATTACCATTTATTGTGACATTCATTATTTTTACTCTCCATAGTTTCCACTTACTCATACATATTTTGTTGGACTAACGGAAGTCATACAATTATTTTAATGCTACCTAGCGTGACAACAGCTCTCACGCAGCCCACAACTGGACAGAACATAGCACCCCATTGACAGCTCTACTAGGAAATATAAAAATTATGCTACATTTTAAATGCCAACAACCTGCATACTTAAAGTGACCAATCGTACTTTTTTTTCGGAAGTAGAGTATGTACTTCTTTTTTAGCTATTGTACTTCGTACTTCGCAGTGCACGCAAATGCACGATCAAGTACTTTGGCTTGATCCTGGATAGGAAGCTGTTGTGGAAGGCTAATATTGAGGAAAGGGTAAAAAAGGCGTCGGTTGCCTTTTACTGCTGTAGAGGTGCTATCGGTTAAGGGTGAGGTCTCTCGCACAAATTAATTCATTAGGTCTGTGAAACCATAATTTAGACTATCTTATTTAACAATTGGAGCGTTTACAGCGGATGGCCCAAATCAGAATTAGGCGTTCATTAAGAACCACATCTACACTGGCGTATAATGTCATGTTGAACACGGCGCCTGCGGACATTGCAGACAGAATTGTCGCAGCACGAACTGCTACTAGGCTCAGAGAAACCGGGTGGTAACACTCTGGAGTTCTAGAGGGCTTTGTCTTCGCCCTGAACACACATATTACAGCGCCTCCAAAATTGCTCGCAGAACCTCGTTCTCTACCTATCTTCTTTCGAGAGAGGATGGGGTTACTCGAAGAAGGGAGCGGTAAACTTCTTCATGGACAAATCAAAACTTGGAGACAGGGTTGGTGAAGGTTTCTTCTGTCGCAAACTCTCCACCAAAACTATGTTCAGACTTCCGGACTTCTGTAGTGTTTTTCAGGGGGAAATCATCAAGGAAGCGAGTGTGATGGTACACTCGAAATCGGTAAATGAATGCCTGACGTCTCTATCAGTCGCATCGGAGAACTTCTTAATAAGGCTAGTTTAGTTGCCGGGTCGTGCGGGGATATCGCGGAAAACTGTGTAACTGATGATCTTGCGTTGGAAAGGCACCCTAAAATGTTACCCCAGGTACACTCTTGGATGGTTGCGCCTAGTGTTAGCTCGGCGAGCGCTAAACTAACACGAATACTTCGAATTCGCA